AAGCTTTCGACAGGGTTTCGCACAAGAAACTGATCGTAAAGCTGAAGGCTTTGAGGTTCCACCCGATTATTACGACTTGGATCCCAGAGTATTTGAGTAATAGAACGTTTCAAGTTAAGATTGGTCAGTCCTTTTCAGAAGTCCGGCGGGTAATAAGTGGTGTGCCCCAAGGTGGTGTGCTGTCACCGGTGCTTTTCAATGTTTTCACGGCTGAGCTTCCTGATATGCTTCGCGAAGTAGGCGTCACTCCGAAGGTGTATGCTGACGACATAAAAATCTATAAGGCAGTTTCAGTAGAAGCAGACTCTCAGGAACTCCAAAGAGCAATTGATCTAACGGTGAGTTGGTCGAAGGATTGGCAACTGCCTACAGCTTGAAAACATTGGAACCGTGTGGTCACGGTTCCAATGTTTTCAAGCTGACACATTCGAGGACTAGGGGTGGCCGCATGAAGATTTCTTTGGCACGTCCTAAAACAAACTTACGAGCGAGCGGCTTTACCTTCAGGGCTGGCAGTGATTATTTAAGAGTGGTGAAAAATATACCCGTCTCTTCATCGCTAGCACAGTTCAAACGCCAAGTAGTTAAGTTGCTGCTGAAGGGAACTGGTCCTAACGTTTCTTGAGACTGATTAACTAACTGATTTATCTTTGTATTGTGCATCGTCTGCTTGTACACATGTTTAATATTTACGTTGTGTTTTCTTTTCTTTCTCACGTTTGCCTTCCGCAGGCGTAATAAACTTATAACTTATAACCTATAACAAGTCAAAACCAGCTATGGGTCAGTACCGATATTGGACCGGGTAATCACGTTGTATGAGTGGCTAGTAAACGATCACTGTATACCACTAAACTGTGACTTGAAAGCCTCTAAGAAGGTGTGGGAACACGGGTTCTTGGTGTAGAGGGTGAAAGGTAAGTCTCAGTAGGTAAAAAGGACGGTGTTCATAAAGCTCAAGTATGGCTTTGAGCAACTTACGTTGCCCAGGATTTGCGAACAACTCGCCACTCCTCTTTGAAGAGAGTATCAGGCGGCTTGCAATTGCCTAATTCCAACGGGTCCGGTATCTTCCCCCCGAAAGCGGCATCGCGCACGCCGCACCCGCCGCGTATCGCAGGATTGCGATGGAAGATTGGAGTGCGCAATTTGTGATGTAGAGAGTCCTTTAATCATTTGAGTTGGCTGGCCGTTCCCTTCAGTTCCATTGCGTCGTGATCGTCGCTAATATAAGCGAGTCATTCTAATTAATCAAGTCTAATGAACATAATAACGAAAAAGAAGAGAAAAAAGATCAAAACTAATAAAAAAGGCAAACAACGAAATATACTGCGCCTTATCGATTGGCGGGGAAGCGGGATGAGTACGGTGATTGCAGTGAGATTTGCCGCATTCCGCAAAGCAAACGTCCGCAACCGGGTAGAAGTTCCGTTCCCCATTTTCAACTGATTCACAAGGCAGAGAGGTGCGAAGAAGGAAATGTCACGCCAAGATGATGAGGGGATGGAAACTTTAGCATAAAAGCCCCAATAGCATACCTCAAATTTCAGTTTCCGTGGCAGCAACATTCTCAGCACTACAGTATCCAACACATATTACAGTAAGGCCATATTCTCGACCGTTCTTGAGAGATTACAGAATAAGAAACTTTGCAAAAAGTGCTCTCTTCTATAAACATTTCTCAGTTGCTCTTGAAGGCAGAGCCCGCAATTTTGAGGTGCATACTTAAGTGAAATAATTGAAGTCATGGGGCAGAATGATCTAGGGGTGTAGAAGAGAGCGCGAAAATTGTTGGATTTTGAAAAACCTAAGGCTTCAAAAAAGTGGTAAGAAAGGGGGGCTGTACGGTATAGCCGTCTGAGTGTCTCTGATTTAAGCGTACTGTTGTCGTCCTGTGAATAGTGCAGTAACGACAAGGCCGTCAACTCATCCACTTGGAGTGTCTGCGTAGGACAAACGGTTCTAGGTCTTTATTACACCCTGTGTAAGTCGTTCTTTGGCTAGAAAATCTTTCATGAGTTATCATTGAAAGCCACAGGTTCACCGCGAAAGAAATATTCAGAAACCATTTCTACCGTGGACTGTGCCTTCAAGATTGTCAACAGTCTGAGTGGTGTGGCAAGAAGCAACAGTTGTCCTCCCTTACTTTTTAGGGTCTTCTTCGAAGCTCTTTTCGATAGAAAGTTGGTTTTAAAACATAACGTTATTTCGGATTTTGAGGGCACTCCGTATTATTCGTAGTATTTGGTTGTATGACCGCTGTAAATCTCCTTATTTGTGAAGAATCCTCTCTCTCATATTGTTAATGTGGAACAAAAATATCGGAATTATTTATAAATGAGGAACCGGCTGGTCAGGTCCGGCCTCACACACAAGAAAGGCGTGGTGTCCGGCTATTTACAAAGATCGTGTCGTGTGTGGTTGTTCGAGGTTCGTTGGCTAGCAGATGTTGCATGATTTGGCACAGTACTTCTTCCTGTCCGCGGCAGTGTAGAAGGAGTTGGTGCAGAATCCTTTCCTCACCCAGTTGGCACAGCTGTAAAAGAATGTTGTGGTCACGAGGTTGGAATGAATTGAAGCCAACCATCTTACCTAGGGTTCGAATCAACAGCAGATGGACAGTTACCAGTATTTCCGCCGCTCGTAGCTGAACCGCTCGTTGCTGAATTGAACAATTAACAAAGGCAAATGGTTGATGCAACAGATTTAGCAAAAATACGCTAAAAGCTACCTGTTGTGACGGTGGCAGCAGTAGCAGCGGTAGTGGCTGACGGACAATATCCACAGGTTTTCATGCAGTTAGTCTAAAAGCGACAAGTTCAATACAAGTATTGTACATGTTCTGCACAGTTAGTATGATAAACGTGTACGAATAAAAATCTGCTTTCCTTCAGAAATATTACCTTAACAAAGTCTTGCATATCAACATTTCTGCAGATGGATGGATCATTCTCACATTCGATTACGGTATCGACACATCCACCTAATGCCAAATATCAAAATATTTGGGAGAACAACCTGGAACCGTGGAGTATTCTCACCTTCCAGGCAGAAACCGCACACATTTGGGCAGTCTTCAGCCAGAATTGGTCTCCACGATGGATCTCTACATTGAGCTGGGGTGACACTCGAACATTTCACTCTTGGAACTAAAATTTTGGCAATTATATGAACCTTTATAGCAGTACGTGACTCGATTCGCCTACGAACAGTCTTTGTTGGTGCACTTGTACTCGGGAGTCATACAACAATAGCCACAAGTTTTTGGGCAGTTGGCGATGGCAAAAGCTTTTACGTCTTCGTCCTAAATGGAATAAATTTCTTTGCATTCTACTGATATGATGACAACTTGTATATGTAGCATACCGTCAAGCAAGCTGCGTCTCTGTCTGCTGTTCCCATAGGTTCTACTGCTGCTGGGAAAAATGCAAGGCAAGTTGTTGATTTGTATTTGTCCTCACATGCTGTAGCAGATGCGACAAACTGAAACTCTTGCCGGTAGAGGGCATTTGAGATCTAT